TGTGTTGTTCTGCCTGTGAGCTTCTGCCTTCAGGGGTGGTGTGGATGGTGTGAGACTGGTGATGGGTGACTGTCAGAGCTGGGAAAACATCATCCCCCACTGGGAGAGCACAGGGATTTGTTCCAGGCCAACAGTCCTCCCCAAAAATGCTTTTCCTGCACAAACTGGGGGCTGTGGAGTGCTGGGAATACCTGACCCAGTCAGTTCTCCATGGAGGAGCAAAGGAAATGCTCCTGTTTGTGGGGATGCCCCTTTCCCTGCAGGCAGGGAGGATGTGGGGACAGGTGGCTACTCCAGCTTGCCCCAAAACCAACTGCAGGAGCCCCAAAACTTGATCCCCATCCTTCTCCCCACACTGGGGTGAGGAGTTTGTCCCTGCTGGGTCCCTCTGTCATTCCCACCGTGCCCAGCTCCCCGAGTGCTCCATCCCTGCTGCCCAGCACTGACCACTGCCCCTGCTCTCCCCTGTGCCAGTACGAGCAGGCAGCTGATGCAGAGCTGGCCTGGGTGGCTGAGACCAAGAGGAAGCTGATGGCCCTGGGTCCCATCCGCCTGGAGCAGGACCAGACAACGGCCCAGCTGCAGGTGCAGAAGGTCTGTGTGCACTCCCTGGTGGGCTCTGGGGGTGGGCACCAAGGAGGGATGGTCCAATTTGGGTCGTGGGATGCATTTTGGGGCAGCAGCTTTACCCTGTGCTGAGCTCAGAGCAGCAGCAGAGACGCAGCGCTTGTCCTTGGGATGTGAAAGGAAAAACAAAAAAAACAAAGGAAAATATTGAAATAAATCATCCAAGTGTTTGGCTTCCCAAGGAAAAAGCTTCCTGCCTGTTCACAGGAGCCATTTAGGGCTTGGTGGGTGCTTTGCTTTGGTCTCCCTTGGGGGATCTGCTCCCATGGCAGCTTTTCCTTGTGGGCACCAGAGCAAGCTGTGCCAGGGTCTCACCGGAGCTGGCAGCAGGAAGGGTTCAGAGAAATGTGTGTATTGATTAATGAGGGTGGTTTCCATTTGCTTTTTGCTCATTGTTCCCTGCAGTGAGGGACTCCACAGTTCCCTCCCAGCAGCCAGACGTGGAACAAAGAGGTGCTGGAGGGGTTGGGGTTTGTTTTTTTTTTTTTGGTTTTTTTTTATGTATCTTTGAGATGAGCTCATGCCTGAAAGAACGTGCACTTTAAATAAACCCTTTTCTTCCCTCTGCCTAGGCAATCAGAGCAGCACACAGGCTTATTGGATTTAAAATTAAAGGGAAAAAAAAAGGAAAATAAGACAGTGTTATAAGAGAGGGGGGATTGAACCATCGAGCATTAAGTTAAATTGAGCTCAGCTTCCCACTGTTAATCTCGTGGACCTTGGGAATGGCAAAGTTATTGGTGAATGCAGCTCTGGAGAGCATCATTTTGTGGGATAACATTCACTAACAAATGGATGATGGAGCTTTTCCTCCACTGAGGACCTTGGGTGTGGATTATACCTCATTTTTAGAGCTGTTTTTGGGTCTTTGAAAGAGAGAGGTTGGTGTAGATGAGGAAAACAGGCAGGAATCTGCATTCCCAGCCACAGGATGCTTGGGCTGAGTTTTGCAGGGTCTCTTTGGCAGGAGGGTGCTGTGGATGGGCTGGGCTCAGCTCTGAGCTCTCCCCTCTCTCATTTCCAGGCGTTTTCCATCGACATCATCCGGCACAAGGACTCCATGGACGAGCTCTTCAGCCAGCGCCACGAGATCTTTGGCACCTGTGGAGAGGAGCAAAAAGCTGTTCTCCAGGTGAGCCCCCTCTGCTATTGACTGCCACAGAGAGGGCAGAGAGGCCAATCCCCAGCCCTCGCACGTGCTGGAGGAGTTTAAAATTACTCCATCTTCAGTAATTCCCACCAGCGCTAGCAGAAATCTCTTTACATTTATGACTCTCCTTTATTGCCGGTTTTTATTGCAAGGTTTGGGGATGGGGAGGGGGAGATTCCCGAGGCTGCTTTAACTCGAATTACAACGTAGAAGGCCACCAAAGGCACCTCCTTCTCTTCCAGCTCTCAGCATGGAGCTGACCCTTTTCCTGGGCCCTTTTAACTCTCCTCCCTGATATATTTTTAGGAGAAAACCGAGTCCCTGGTGCAGCAGTACGAGGCTGTGAGCCAGCTCAACTCGGAGCGTTACGCCCGCTTGGAGCGTGCCCAGGTGCTGGTGAACCAGTTCTGGGAGACCTACGAGGAGCTGAACCCATGGATTGAGGAGACCCAGGCCCTCATCTCCCAGCTGCCACCCCCAGCCATCGACCACGAGCAGCTCAAGCAGCAGCAGGATGACATGAGGGTAAGGGGATGCAGAGTATCATTTAATAAGCCACCAATGAATCATCTTTCTCCATATTAAAGAGTCTCAATCTATTTATTCACAGATACTCACAGGTAGCTCGCCACATTTGATAATGTTATCTTTTCCTTTTCCTTTCTTTTTCTTCTTATTAATTTTGCTTTGTGTTTCAATACATCAGACAGTAGTCAAGCTTAAACTATGAATTTATTTGGTGACATAATCATGTTTTCTATTTTTCTATTTCTTTCAGTTCTCAATATTATGACAAGGTTTTTGCTATTATTAAAAAAATACATTTCTTGACAGACAAATTATTCTGTGAGGCATGATTGAAAATGTTAAAATATATGTTATTACTAAACAATTAATTTTAAATTATTTTTAAGCAGCAGCAGGATGACATGAGGGTAAGAGGATGCAGAGTATGGGGGTAAGAGGATGCACAGTTTGCACCTCTTGTCCATCACCACAGGGAAACAACACCTTTTTCTTCTGAATTTTCCTCCATTCTCCTCCCTTTTCTGTTCTTTTTGGGGGGTTTGCTTGCGTTATGCAAGAGCGCCACATGAAAATCCCTCGTTGTGTTGGAGCGCTCCTTACCAAAATTCAGCTTGCTTCCAAGGAAACCTGGCTGCTTTTGGATCTCTTTCCTGCTCGTGGCAGGGAAAAAAAAAAACAACACTTTGTGCTTTTAGGGTAGAGACTGCAAAGGCAAAAATTCCCAGTGGGGTCCCCCGTGGAGCTGTGGGGAGGGTCAGGGGCTGGGGAAGGACCCGTGCCAGGCACTGTGCCATAGCCATGCTGGGAAGAGCCGAGTGCCATGTGCTTGGCAGATGCTGGGGCATGGAATCCAGGCTGTGAGTTCCTCCCAGATACCATCCCTGCTCTTGGAGTGCTGTTTGGAATAAATAGGCAGTGGCTCGCGGCAGATTTCTAAACAAATGTGTTTTATTTTTTTTTTTCCCCCCCTCTCCATCTATTCCCTAGCAACTGCGAGAGTCCATCGCTGAACACAAACCTCACATCGACAAGCTGCTGAAAATCGGGCCCCAGCTCAAGGACCTCAACCCCGAGGAAGGGGAGATGGTGCAGGAAAAATACTCCAGGGCTGAAGCCTTGTATGCCAAAATCAAGGAGGAGGTTTGCCTGCGAGCCCTGGCGCTGGACGAGGCGTTCTCACAGTCCACCCAGGTATGCAGGGAGGTGAATCTGCCTCTCACAGCCCCCTGGGACAGCCACGTGCTCTGGAATGTGGTTTTATTCCCCCTGTAAAAGCCCTTTATAAGGAATAACGTGGTCAGGCACCTCCAGGGTAGTTTCCTGTGGCTGTGGGAGCAGAGGAGGAGAAGGCGTTTGAGGCTCCACACAGTAAATGGGGTCGTAAATTTTTACGGCCTCAATAATGATGCTGGTTCAAAGGGGCTGCTCTGGCATCCACCCAAGGTTGGAAGGGCCTCTTGAAAGAGCTTGAGGAGATAATTTTCAGTTGTGATAAGCTGTGAGTGCAGTGAGCAGCCACGGGATGCTTTGTATGGGAGAGGTAATGGATGTCTCCGGGGTCTGGGCATCTCCTGAGGAGGTGGGTGAGTGCAGGAGGAGAAATAGGAAAGGAAGGGCAGAGACTGGAGGTGCTGAAGTGCAGACAGGGGGTGAAGTGCTCCTCCTGCTGCTGAGGGTTGCTGACCCCCAGCCACGTTTCATTTCACCCCGTGTTCCCGTAGCGCAGTTGGTTTTTGTCACGTCCTGGGTGTTTATTTTCTTAATTCCTGTATTGTGTAGTCACTTCTCTTGGTTTGCACTTGTATTAACTCCGAGTTTTTCCCCCCTCCTCCACATTCCCCTCCCCTCTCATCTCTCACTCCCATTGTGGAATGTGTTGTCTGTGTGTGTTGCTGCCTGTGCCCGTCCTCCCCACATGGTCCCATTTCATTCTTGTGTTGACTGCGCCCCACCATTGCAGATTTCGGAGGTAAGCGAGTCCCCCTCCACAGATGTTCATTTACCCTCCCTGGCCTGATTCTATTTGACACCCAGACTTTCATTTCTGGTCCGTGCACAGCTCAGCAGAACTTGCTTCAAATTTAACGCCGGGGTTGGGGCTGGAATCACATTTTTTGGGATGGCTTTGGTCGCGTTGCTGCCTGGTCTCAGCTTCTGCTGGGAATGCTTCCTGCAGGGCAGAGTTTTGCTTCTGGAAGGGTTCACAGTGCTCCAGCTGGATGTGCTGGCTTGCTGCTGCTTGTTGGCTGAGCCAGCCTGTCCTGATCAACTTTGCACCGAGAGCCCCAGCCCTTCTCTGCTGGCAGAGCCTGGAATTTGGTGTGTTCCCAGCAGGAACTGGGAGAGGGACAGGAGCAGCCCCAGTGCTGAGCTGTCCTTCCCACCAGCAGAGACAGTTTGGGATCTTTAAGGCCAAAGTTGACTTCTCTCTTATAAAAAACAGCAATAAACCCTGCTAGACCCCCTCCCTCCCTCACTCCTGGCTTTCTGGTTCTGCTTTGAGGCCGCAGCTCCTCCCCACCCGCATGCAGCTCCTGCTGACCCTAAAAAACTGGTTTGGGTTTCCACTGGAGATTCCATCAGCACCAAACACGGGCCCTTTTCCAGCAGCATTTTTTTGCCTGGCTGTTCCCTCAACCACCACTGAGGTTTTGTGCCCGGCCCCCAAAATAACGGCAAAAAAAGCGAATTTTCGGGGCGCTGCCGTGTTTGGGTCACAGGTGCTCTGTGAGTGTCGCTCTGTGGGCTCTGCTGGAGCAGGGCAGGTGTGATGAGGAGGCTGCAGGGGTGGCATTGCTGCTGCAGGGGTGGCATTGCTGCTGCAGGGGTGGCATTGCTGCTGCAGGGGTGTCGTTGCTGCCGTCGCAGGCGTTTGTCCGTCCCCTCTCCGAGGCGGCGCGGCACTTGGGGCTGTCGCTCGTGCTGGTGGCTCTGCAGTGTCACTTTGTCCCCTCCCTCCTGCCCTAATGGCCTCGCTCCCCCCCAGTTCCACGACAAGATCGAGCCCATGCTGGAGAGCCTGGAGAGCCTCTCGTCCCGCCTGCGGCTGCCGCCCCTGATCCCCGCCGAGGTGGACAAGATCCGCGAGTGCATCAGCGAGAACAAGAACTCCACCGTGGAGCTGGAGAAGCTGCAGCCCTCCTTTGAGGCCCTCAAACGCCGTGGGGAAGAGCTCATCGCCCGCTCCCAGGGAGCAGACAAGGACCTGGCAGCCAAAGGTAGCTCTGGGTGGATTTACACGTCCAATTTCTCCCCAAAGCGTGGCTCCATCGCTGCTGGCGAGGCTTTGATGTCCCAGGAGTGTGTTTGGGAGGTTCTTCTGGCTTTAGGAGGAAGGATGAGTCTTCTGGGTGGATTTGGGAGGTTCTCCTAGACTTAGGACCAAGGTTGAGTCCTGGGAGGTTCTCCTGGCTTTAGGACCTAGGATGAGTCGGATGGATGGATGGATGGATGGATGGATGGATGGATGGATGGATGGATGGATGGGCAGGCCTGCCTCCATCTGGAGCAGACAGGCTGGCATCAATCAGAAGAGAAAAGAAGCATTTGTGGCTTCTCAGCCCAGCTGGCCTCTTGTTGGTGGCCCCTGGGACAGGATTTGTTGATGTCCCTTCAGCATCTAATGGAGGGGAGGGACATCCCCGAGCACAAAAAGCCCGTCAGCACGATTGGCACTAATTGGCACCTTCCTTGGCAGATCAACAGGCAGCTCATGCACTGAGTGAGCAGGGACTTCATGCTAGAGGTGGCCAGAACAGAGGTTTGTTGGAGGGAGAGTGTGTGGGCAAATTTGCCCTGAGCTTGCACATAAATAAAGGCTTTTCTGCAAGCTGGAGTTTCTCACGTCCCTCTGAGTTAATGCTCTGATAGCCCTGGCCATCTTTATTCCCTTCTGGATATTCTGTTGGCTGTTTCTGAGTGTTTTGAAAATGCTCTTGCATTGCCAAAAGGTTTCCTTCTTCACTTCACTGAACGCTTCAATTTCCTTCCCCAGTCATCCAGGACAAGCTGGATCAGATGGTTTTCTTCTGGGAAGACATCAAAGCTCGCACCGAGGAGCGCGAGATGAAGTTCCTCGATGTCCTGGAGCTTGCAGAGAAGTTCTGGTACGACATGGCAGCGCTCCTGACGACCATCAAGGACACCCAGGACATTGTCCACGACCTGGAGAGCCCAGGCATTGACCCCTCCATCATCAAGCAGCAGGTGGAAGCAGCAGAGGTGAGGCCCATGGGGCTGCTCCTCAGTCTGGAGCTTGTCTGCTAAATTGGGAAGGTCTTAGATCATGGCTGTGGCCAGGGGTGAATCGGTTTTGTAGGCAGTCAGTCTGATTATGAGGAGTTATTTCCATTGCAGTTTGGAGCTGCGAGGAAAAAGCCAGAAGTGGATTTCGCATATCCTTCACCTTAAATCACATTATCTGCTGCTGTTTTGGGAAGCACACGGAGCTCTGTGTGCCCAGAGCTCTGTGCCCACTTGCTTGGAGTGATGTGGAGGCTTGCAGGGCTCTGCTCCCAGCCCAAGCCAGAGGCTGGCTGGAATGGGAAGAGTATATTTAGATTTTGGTCAGAGCAGAGATAAGTGCTTGAATTTGTCTGCTGCTGGTTGCTTCAAGTGGCAAAATCCACTTCAGGTGGGTTTGAGTTGACTCAGGCCTTGAGCAGCAGGGCTGTTTCTTTATTCTTTGCTAAGTTTAGCCTTGCTGCTCCATTTTCATAACCATTCTAACTCTGGTTTGTGCCTTTTGAACCTCAAAACCCTCACTCCTGTATTGACAAAACGCTTCTGCAAACACCCATCTCCTGTAAACAACATCTCCAGCCAGGACAGCTGAGGCTCACAGCTAAATACAGATGTTGTTATTTTAGTCCCAGAGGTGGGAGCAGAGCAGGGTGGTGGTGGTGGTGACAAAAGTGGCCACCTGCTCTCTGTTGTGGAAGGGCTGACAGCTGCTCTGTGAGCCAGCAAGAGTTAGCAGAAAGAGAAGCTGATAAAGTTCACATTTACCCCTGAAAGGAATTCTACCAAGGTTGTTGACATGGAAACTGAGAAGAAAAAGATAAATGAAAGCCTGCAGTTGGGTGTTAGCTGAAAACAGTGGTGGAGACTGCTGTGTACCAATGAACCCTGTGTTGATCTGTTGTGACCAATGAGTAAAGCACAAACTTTGTGGGAAGCTATAAAAGACAGCATGCTGTTACAATCAAGGTTTGGGAATCTTGAAAAAAAGAGAAAAGCCTTCTGAAATGGTATAAATTTCAGAATTTATTATTTCCAGAATTGTTCTGTGTGACCATCTCAACACTCTGTGTCACCTGCTCTCGGGGTTTGGATTGGGCTCTTGGCCAAGGTGCAGGGCACTGGAGCAGGCAGGACCCTGCTGCTCGTGGAGCAGTGTTGGAAGAAGGTTTGATCTCAAAGGTTTTCCTTGTGTGGCTGTGCCTCTGCAGACCATCAAGGAGGAGACAGACGGGTTGCACGAGGAGCTGGAGTTCATCCGCCTCCTGGGGACTGATCTCATCTTTGCCTGCGGTGAGACTGAGAAGCCAGAAGTGAAGAAGAGCATTGACGAGGTAGGGAGAGCTTCCCCTCCAGATCAAACCAGGCTGGGAGCAAGTGGGAGCTCTGCTTGTGGAGCCTGACGAGTTCTGTGTCGCTCAGATGAACAACGCGTGGGAAAACCTGAACAAGACGTGGAAGGAGAGGCTGGAGAAGCTGGAGGAAGCCATGCAGTCAGCTGTGCAGTACCAGGACACACTCCAGGTGAGGGGCAGGGCTGCTGGTGTGGAATGGGTGGGCCCTGGGAGCAGCACTGTGAGCCCTCTCCATGGAGCAGAGCTGGGATTTGCATTTCTTAAAGCAGCAAACATCTCCTGGGTGAGGGCTCTGAGGGAGCCTGAGCTCATCCAGCAGCTCTGAGGAGGAGATGTTTGATTATTACATTGGTTTTCCCAAAGCTTGATTGGATGAGGGAAGGAAGAGGGAGCTGGACAGAGCTGCCCTGACGGAGTTTCATGGCT